AGGCCTGGGCTTAGTGTGTGGACCACAGTCCCCTGGCCAGGAGGCAGGGGGACAGGGTGGGCAGGGGTGTCAGTGAGGATGCCACCACCCCCAGTTACCAGCACTCAGACAACCTGCAGGACCAAATGAAGGGTTGTGGCCACCAAATGCCCCGAAGTAGACACAAGGCTGAACTTGGTTCTGGGGTGCAGCTGCTCTTTCTGTTTAGTCTACCTTTTGCCCCCAAGTTGGAAGTGAGAGGAGGACGATTTGAGAACTAGGTCTTTCTCAGCAAGCTGGTTCAGGCCCCCAAGAGTGGCAGAGATGATGCACACAGAGCAGATCTGAACCCTGGGTCAGAGGGGATCAGCAGTTTTTAGGGATGAAGATGAATGCAGGGATCTAAGGAGTAGCAGCATCAGTTTCCCCAGCAAATACCAGGTTGGGTTAAATCATTTCCTCTCAACCCCAAAGCCCATCTTGTATCAGGTGTGGTGGTGCACACCTGTAATCCCAGCATCAGGAGGCTGAGACAGGAGGATCACGCGTTCCAGGCCAGCCTGGGCTACATAAATAATGAGACCTTGTCTCAAAAAAACAAAACATCCCCAAAGCCCCCTCTGGGACCTCTAAGGTTCTCCCTGAGAACCTCCCTGGTCCCTGCCACCCTGCTCTTACACAGAGCCCAGTTCCCCCATGGTGCTCTCAGTCCAGGGGCCGAGGCCACCAGGGTGATGAAGGCAAACAAGATGAAGCTCTTCCTTGCATCTGGGGTGCAGGATGATGTCACCTGGGTCCCAGCCAAAGCGCTTCTTCCCACATCACTAACAGAATCGACAGACTTCCGGATTAACTTGGGGGGGGGGCGGGAAGGGCATCACTCTGGCTAAAATGGGGCTGGATCGCTTATTTGTCCAGTGGATCAAAGCCTCTTATTTCCAAGAGTGTTCTCCCTTTCTGGAATTCTGAGATGGGGAAGAAGCTAACTGCGAAACTACTAAACCACAGTCTGGGCTACGGACCCCACACCTACGGATGCCCGCGACCCGACCGGAAGCCAGTCTTTGGGCTGGAAACATCTGCTGGGTGGCACCTTTGCCTGGCCTACACCCAGACATTTCTCTGAGTAAAGAAATCACATTCCGTGAGCTGGGCAAACATGGGGTCCAGTTTATTCCTTCTTATCTACTGCCTGTGTTTAGACTTCTTCTACAAAAGCAAACTCTGCATAGGGAATGATTTGCCTTTTGTGATGTAGGAATGAGTCAATGGTAACTGTTTGTTTTGTTTTGTTTTTCTGAGGAAGTCTAAACTTATACTGGGATTTCTCTTTATGAAAGCACTTTAAAGCCAACCGTGGTAAGGCAGATTTGTAATCTCAGCACTTGGGAGGCTGAGGCAGGAGGATTGCAATTTCAAGTTCAAGGATTGCAGCCTGGGCTGCATAGTGAGTTCGAGGATGGCCTGGATTACATATGGAGGTCTTGTCCCAAATGTAAAAAAGAAGATTTTAATAATCTCTGGCAGGCTGCTCCTTTCAGATTTCTTCCCTTGTGAGGATCACAACAAGATCTAGAGGGAGGCTGTGGTGTGGTGACACTGGCCTGTGTAAGGCTAAAAAGAACTTACTTCAATGTCTCCATTTCAACAGCAAATTTTTAATCTCCATAAACCAGCATGAATGAGATGCAGTAACAGCAATGTTAAATCCAATCTACTCCATACAGAACTGTTTCCTGGCCAATCCAAGATTTTTGTCCCCTGTGCTGGAGCTGGACCCCCAGTGGCCCGAGCATGCCAGACCTGCACTCCATCTCTGAGCTGCTCCTCCTGAGGAACTAAGTAGCTTCGAGTGGCTCACTGCAAATGCCTTCCTTGGTATCAGCACAGGAAAGCTGAGCTGCACAATAAAATCCAAAATGTTCACAGGCAGCAATTCCATTTCTGATAATTTAGAATGAAAAACTAATCTGAATTGTGGATGGAAGTGTACATATAACAATATTCACTACTGCAAAATCCAGAACATAGTTTCAACATTCTCTATAGGTTTTTTAAAAATAAAAAATAATAAGCGACCTAAGCATATATAAGGAGATATATTTTATAGTCATTAAAAATGGTGCCTTGGGGGTAAAAAAGAAAAACAACCAAAAACAAAAAGTAAAAATGTGCTGCGATGCTGTATGAGTTTGGATTTTCATAAAAAGATCAAGGTCTCATATTAATTTTATCTTATCATCTAGATATTTTATACATTACATGCCATTTTAAGAAAATCTATTAATGTAAATTGTCAATAAAGAGTAGTTTGTTTTTTGGGATTTTTTGTAGTTCAGACTGGTCTTGAACTCATAGTGACCCTCTTGGCTCAGCCTCCTGAGTGCTGGGGTTTCAGGTGTGCACTACCACTCCCAATCTAAGAAAGAGTATAGAAACATGAAAACAGCACCTCAAAGAATGTATCATATATATGAAGCTATATGTATATGTGTACAGAAACTTTTCAGTAGGAAAAACAGAACTTTGAAAATCCTGTTTTATTCTGAGGACAGAAATTACTTCTTACATTTATCTTCCTGTACTTTGAATTAGAAAAGATGTATGTAGTCCTTTATTTGTTTTTTGAAACAAGGTTTTGCTGTGTAGTTCCGGCTGGTCTTGAACTCACTATGTAAATCAGGCTGGCCTCAAACTCTTGGCATTCTTCCTGCCTTGCCCTATCCCATCCAGTGCTGGGATTACAGGTGTGCACCACCGCGACTAGCTAGCATGTATAACTTATAAAAAATACATATCAACAAAGAGCATGTAATGACATAGGAAAATGGTTAAGGTAAAAGGATAAACATTGTATATATAGTACATTTGGTAAAAATATTAGCAAGAAATAGATGATGCTAATAATTATATTTCTATTTATTATTAAAAATAAAATATGCCTTAAACTAGGAATGGTGGTACATTCCTATAATTCTACCACACTGTGAAGTTGGGGCAGGAGAGTCACAAGTTTGAGATCAGCCCAATTTAGTGACTCAAAGAGAAACCATTCCCAAATCAACAAAACAAAAAGTTTAAAAGGCTGGGGATGTAGTTCAGTATGAAGGCTCTAGGTTCAATCCCCTGTACTGCAAAATAAATACAATAAAATATGCTTTCAAATATAAACTAGGTGAATAATATCAACTTGTTTTCTAATCTAATTTTTAAAATTTTATTATTTTTCTCCCAGTGAATTTAGAATACACTGAAATCTCATTCTTCTTTGCTAAATTAATCAAAGATCCCAGAGGGTCAAAGATTAATTTAAGAGGTAGATTTGGTCAAAATATTAAAACACATTGGGAATCACTTTCTGTTCTATCACAAGGTGTCAGAGAGTGCTTTATAGGGTGACAGCTGATCCCGGCCATCCTGCTATCCACCTGCATCCAAAGCAAAGCAGACTGCACAGGCCCTGGAGGTGGGTGGTGGCCCCGGCCCAAATCTTTTGCTAGCTGTCATTTGGATTTGGACAAGTGTCCTAGTCACTCTCTTGTCACTGGGACACAGTACCCAAACCCACAACCACAGTTTCAGAGCTTTCAGTCCACGTTCAGCAGACTGAAACACAGAGACGGGTAGTGGAAGGGCCCAAGGAAAGGAAGCTGCTCACTTCATGGCTGCCAGCAAGCTGAGAGACAGGAAGGAGCCAATACAGGAAGACGCCCTTCCAGGCCACGCCCCAGACCAGCTCCTTCTCCTCAGGCCCCGCCTCCTAACGCTTCGTTCAGCTATGGCACCCTTGTGGTCCAGTTTTCTTGCAAAAGCCCTGCCTCTAAGCACAGAAGGTTTTGAGGGAGTCCGGATATAAACCATAAGGGCAAGGGGCAGACCTTGCACCCTCTGGATGCCGGTCCAGAGGACAGCAGTCACTTCCCTGGACTGCATGCATGTGGGAGTGCTAGAGCATGGCCTCTCCACCGCTGCCTGTCACCACACACTGACACCGGGACCTTTGTGTGGAGCGCTCACCCGAAGTCCATTTCAACAGGGGACCTCTCAGGTAAAAGCCATCTTCTGGCCCGGGTGTAGCTCAGCTAGCATGGCCAAGGCCTGGGTTTGCTCCCCAGCACCACAAAACAAGCAAACAGCCCCCCAAAATAAAAGCAAGCTGCACATGGTGGGGCAGCCCCAAATCCCAGCTACTCAGGAGGCTGAGGCAGGAGAATGGCAGGTTGGAGGTCAGCCTTGGCAATGAGTGAGACCCTGTCTTAAAAGAAATCAAAAGGGCTGGGACATAGCTCAGTGGTAGAGAACCCCTGGGTTCAATCTGGAAAAAAAAATTCTTTAAAGCAATTTTTTATGTTGAGAGATGAAAGAAAGATTTTCTTCTACTCTACCTGGAAGCACAAGAGAGGCTGATGAAAGTCTCATTTAGTATAAAAACCTGGCTCTGAGAGTTGGTTATTAGATCAAGGACTTGCAAGGCCAAAAATTCAACAAACAACTCAAATTGATTCCTCTGCTGTGTTCTGTGGTTCAGATTACTCTTAATCACAGCCAACCACCCCACAAAGGGACCTAAGGGGAGCCATCCGTCTGGGGATCTGCAGGACAGAGCAGGCGGAGGTCAGCAGATTCGTAGTCCTTCATTTATTTCATTTGTTTTTGCTACGTAGCCCAGGGTGACCTCAAGATCCTCCTGCCTCAGCCTCAGCTGGGGTTACAGGCATGAACCACTCCCCCTAACTCCCAAACTCTACAGGCCACAGTAGGGCCTTCTCCATGGCATGTGGACACCAGCTAAGTTACCCACATTCTTAATGAACTGAGGGTTTGATTGGCCTTCTGGGAAGAAAAGGAAAACAATGGGAAAAACATAAAAAGGAGAAGAGAGCACCTGTGACTGAGGCAAAAGAAATATTGTGAGGGATAAAAGCAACGAGCCTAGGTTCCCACAGCCTTTACACAGACCAGCCGGAGGCAGATGGGGTCTCCTCTCCTGCTGCCTCCCCTGAGGGTCAGCGCACTCTTACCTCCACTGAGGATGATGACGGCTATAAATATGGCCAGGTCGCTGTCGTCCAGTTCCAGTGCGTTGAACTTCACAGCGAACTCAAACTTGGGCTCCATAAAGTCACCGAAGGGCTTCCGCAGGCTCTTGAGAAACTCCCGCGTCATGAAGCCCTGGCCCTCGGAGATGAGCACGCCGTCCTTGTTCATCAGCGAGGCCAGCATGGTGTAGATGATCTCGTGCACGCCGTACTTGAGCAGGGTCACCTGGTCATTGAGGTCCAGGCCCACGAAGCCCGGGATGCTCTTGGCGTACTCGGTGATCTCCTGCACGGCCTCCACTGAGCGGAACTGGCAGCCCTGGAAGATGCGGATTGCCACCTCCTTGCTCTGCTCCTGCAGGGGCGTGATGTGCTTGAACTTGATCTTGTCTTCACCCATCATCAGGGAATTCATGTCATAGATGACAAACGGCTGCAAGCGAAAAAGGGCAAAGTGGCTGAGTCGGCGGTTTCTCACCTGCAGCCCATGCCAGCCCGGGTCAGAGAACTTCCTTATGTCCATTGGCTTTGCTAGCTAAATTCTACAGAAAAGACCCATCTGGAGCACCAAATATGTTTCACCGATTTTTATTCTTTCCTCACAACTTATGCTGTTAACACTTCACCTATGACTGGCTGATAGTTCTCGTTTCTGCTGTTTGATGCTTATTTATTTATTATTTATTATGGTTTTGTGGTTTTTTTTGAGACACGTCTTGCTATGTAGTTCAGGCTGGCCTTGACTCACTCTACCACCTAGGCTGGGCTGGAACTCTCGGCAATCTCCCTGCCTCACCCGCCTGAGTCCTGGGATTACAGGTGTACACCACCATGCCCAGCTTGTTTGACTTTTAAAATGATTTTTTAAAAAATCTTTTGTTTATCTTGGCTTTCAACAGAACACATTTTTTCATTGTGTTTCAATTAAAAAAAAAAATTCAGCAACCCAGGGTTAGGAAGATCTACTTGAACAGAGAGTAATTTTGAAGTTTTAGATCAAATCTACTCAGATCATAAATGAAACACACTGTACATGTAAAACAAATTTCACTATACAAATCACTCTCAAAGCAGATTAGAAATAGCCAAGAAAACGTCTATTTCTTTTTAAATGCTCTGGAAGCCATCTGTTTCAGCGAGAGCAGATGCAGGAGGCCTGTGGTAAGCACTGCAAAAAGTGGCAACAAAAAATGATTTTGAGTTTTTTTCTTTTTTGGTGACCTGGGGCCGGGACCCAGGGCCTCGTATGTGGTTAGGCAAGTGCTCACCACTGAGCTGTGGTCCCAGCGCTGAATTTAGCTTTTTAAACTATCTGTCCTTATGGGTCGACTAATCAGTAACCTGCATCCCTCCCTTGAGTTTGCAGCAGGCTGCTCTGAAAAGCAAAGTGAGTGGTCAGGAATTCTCTCTCCCTTCTGTCCTATGTAGAGCTCACCAGAGGTGGTGGCCCCGTGGAGTCTCAAGACTCCTCGGATTTGAAGGGGAATGGGTGGAAACTTCCCACAGCTGCCTGCTCAGCACTGGGCCAGGCTTCTGCGCTGCCATTTGGCTTCCTGGCACCACGCACGTGCTCCTTCCACCGCCACAGAATGACTGTCTGGACCCGTGCCCTGCTAAGTCACCCTTATGACTCTTCTCGACTTCCCCTGTCCCCTCATAGAAAGCCCCGGGTTCCTGTTTTTGAAACTCTGGGATAGTTGGACATAGGGCACCAAATCCTGCTAATTTTCTCTTCCAATTTAACAACAATGTGACTTTAACCCCTTGGCAATCAGTGTTGCTCAGGATTTCCTGGCAGTAAACAGTCAAGGACAGAGAAAGGAATCAGCACTTCCATGCCAAGCTGGGCCCAGGGCCTTTTTGTTTGTTTGTTTGTTTGTCTTGGTTTTTTGAGACAGGGTCTTGCTATGTGGTCCAGGTTGGCCTCAAGCGTGTGGGGATCCTCCTGCCTCAGCCCCAAATGCTGAGATTGCAGGCATGCGTCACCATGCCTGGCTTCAGTCCCTTTTTTTTTTTTTTTTTTTAAAATCCCTTCAGTATTTGGAAAAAGTGGGGAGGTGGCAGAGAATATTGGGTACTGACCAGCATATGAACACCAGGAGGAAATACCTGCTGTTGTTTTCCCTAGTTCTGCCCCCAGGAGGCTGTTTTTATGCATTTTTGGAGTTGATTGGTTCTTTGCACTGCCACGTGAATCTGCCAGACTGCAAGCGTGATCCACAGCAAGCAGCTCCCCAGGGCTTAGCCTGCACAGCATCCACTTCGCCGTCACTTTCGAAGCTCACAGGGATCCCCTTGTCTCTAAAGTCAGAAGAGGGCAGGTTCCCTGTCTTCGTGAGTGAGAGCTGAATTGTTAGCCGAGTGTCCCAGGTGAAACGTGCCCTTGGCCAGTCTCCTTTCCAAATGTTGTACAAAGCAAAGGACACCCTTACGCATCTGATCAGTGTGGACAATGTCAGTGGACAACCTGCAAGCGCAGGAGAGGAATAGCAACTTCTGAATTGTTGTGGAGATTTCACGTTCCTAGACTGGGGCTAACAGGGTTCAGACACTGCACCCAGTGGCTGGATCAGCAGCTGTCCTCATGGGAAAAGAAGCTTAAGGTCAAGCAGGGCACGGTCAGGGTGGAGCCAGGTTTTGTGGGCTCCGAATGGTGCCAGTGGCTTCGGCTTCTCCAAGAAAGATAACACATGGGATAACGAAATCTCCAGGTGTCCCCAGAGTGGCGGAAGGGCTCAGTGAGAGGGTCCAGGGCCCACGCTCCCCTGGCTCCTCAGGGACTCAGCCTCTGGCCATTAGGATCCTTGTGCTTGTCACAGACTGGACTGACCTCGAAAAGGTGACCAGGGAAGGACAAAAGCTGCACTTGAACCCAGCATTCTTCCCAAAGAGCAAAGTGGTTTCCGTAAGGGAAGTCCTTTAGATACACTGAATGTAATTTATTTGGATGACGTGGTGTCCTCAGGGCCTGCCCTGGGGGTTCATTCCTGCATTCCTCTTGTTGAGAACCAAGGGGTTTATGGAACAAAAGGGTCTTCAGGAGTTACTGGCGTCATCATTCCCTGACTCTGCAAAAGCAAATGAAGCCAAGACACCATCAAGTCAAACAGTCACCCTTTCTGTTTTGTTGTGTTTTTTGAGACAGGACCTTGCTATGCAATCTGGGCTGCTCAAATTTGCTGTGTAGACCAGGCTGGCCTTGAACTGCACCATCCTTCTGCCTCAGCCTCCTGAGTTCTGGGACTACAGGTGTGCAAAGCTGCCCTAGAGTCAGCGTCCCCTCCGGACTGCTAGTTGAGTTCCCTTCAGAACTTTCTTGATGGTGTTTCCACTCCTCCCCTTCTCAAGAGCATCCTATCCTGGAATGCACTAGAAGTGCTTCTGACTGTGAGTTACCTGAGGTGCCACCAAGTGCTGTGTGTGACAGAAGCTAAGCTGGAGAGCCTGTCAGCTGTGATTCTGTCTCTCTGTTCGGTTTAGAGACTTAACACAAACAAACGAAAACTTATAACGAAGGATTATCCACACGCAAATGACCTGGCAGGTAAGTATGGCTCTTCAAACCCATCCAGGGCCAGCCACACAATTTCTCTGGGTAACAAGGATGCCGGCCCACCGGGTCCAACCACTGGGAAAGTGCACTACATGCGAAGCTTTCCTTCTCAATAGGGAAACTATTATTAATACTTTTGCTGCTGGGCATGAAACCCAGGGCCTCAGGCATGCTAGGCGAGCCCCACCCCTGTCCTTGGTTATCTTTTCCTTATTCTCTGAAAGAAGTGTTGGTCCAGATTTGTTATATCTTTAGCTACTGCTGATGGCTCCAGCAATAAAATAATTGTGCTTTATTAACACTGATACATGGATGAATGATCTCAGGAACCATGGAAACCACCCTGCACTTCCAGGTTCCCTGAATCTCCTGCTCTAAGGACCCCACTTGCCCATTGCAGCTCGCTCAGGGTTCTCCAAAGACCACAGGAAAAGGGACCACTCTGGCAGCAAGTGTAGGATTTAGAGAGAGGTACCCTTCTGGAGGCGGGAGTGGCTCCATCTGCGAGCTGCTGTAGAAGGCACACATGTAAGTGGGCACAGAGACGTTTTCCCAGACGTTTACAACTTCATATTGGCTTCCCGACAGTGGTTTCGCATTTCACACTTTTCCGGGCAGAATGACTACTTTTCCGTGTGCTCTTGTCCTTATAGGAACAGTGACTCCACATGCGTCCACCATAAACAAAGCGATGCTTTGGAACCCAAAGTCCAATATAGCACAAATAAAACATTTTATTCCTTGTTTGTAGATAGAGTGCAGCCAGCGCTTCACCACCTCTCAGATACAGAGCGAAACGTTGGCAGGAGTGCCAAGAGCTTTTCTATTTATTGTTTTATGACAAACCCTGGCGCTGAGGATGGTTTTTGAAAACCACTCTGTTTATTTCCATCAACAAACATGAGATCATGTGACACGACACACCTGGTGTGTCACAGGAGGGTAATAGTCAAACATCGGGAACTTCCAAAGTCCATTCAGTTATCAAACTGCCTTCAAGAAATGCAGAGCCTTGGGCTTCGGGGATCAGCAGGGTCCCAAGAATGGGCTGTAGCCCCAACAGACCACCCAAAGGGGACAAAGAGACCTATGGTCCTAAACTTTCTTCTTCAGTGGACTCCATGGCCCATCTGTCCCTCGCCCTGGGTCTAAAATTCTCAACCATTATTCTTTGAGGCAAGAAAATGACCCAGAGAGGCATCTTATCCCGAAGAGGTGATGCTAAGGTTGATAGGAGGCCAGCGGGCACATTTAATTTATCTGTTTTGAAAGGTGCAAGTGGCCCTGGGGCATAAGATAGAGAAGAAGGAAGCTTAGCTGCGGAGGGAGGCAAACAGTGAGGAGCAGCTGGCCTCAAAACAGGCAGTGGTTCAGTGGAGCGGTAAGATAAATTTAAAGAATGGCCTCTTCAACAGAGTCATTTCCTTTTCCAAGGGTTGTGGGTAATTGGTCATCCACTGAGCCCAGCAGTCTCCCCTGGCTCGGCCCCACCAATGAGGATGACATCAGCCTCTAGCAGGGCCATTCTGAGACCTCCTCCTCCTCCTCACATCCCCCACCCTCTCCAGAGGCCACACTTCTGAAAGCTTTTCCTATCCACGCAAATCTTAACTTTCACTGTCCCAGCCAAGAGATAACATAACACCCCTGAGATAGATGCTATCAAATGAATAACAGGACCATGCTGATAAAGAACAAATCTCCAGTCTCATTGGAAATCACATTCTGGTTTTTTTTTTCCTTGTTCATAGTCCTCTTTCTACTATTTCTTTCCACTGGTGCTTAATTTGATTTTGCAAGATAAGGAGAAAATAGAGCACACCAAACAATTCTATTTCAGTTTTGTGTAATCAGTGAACAGATTATTTTAATTTGGCCCAGTCTCTCTTTCCTTTTCCAAACCTGAACTCAAGGTAAATCTGCCTTTATCCAGATCATTAATGATGTCCAGTTTGGTGAGCAAATATTGAATCAGTGAAAAGCCCTCTGTAGAAAGTCCAGCATTTCAAAGGGCATAGGCAACAGCTCTTAATCCAATTAAGCAAATACAGTCTGAGTAGCCATTACTGACAAGCATAGGTCTGGTGACAAGAGGAAAATGACCAGCACTGGGCTTCTGAAGTTGAGGAGCTTCTAATCAAACATTTCGTAGTCTTTTCCCTTAAAATGGCTTACTAGCTACTTATTCCATAAAGAGCCTCCAACTATCTTACTTTTAACTCCAAGGTTTAACACCAACAAATGGATGGGAATAAGGTCTTAAGGTGATTTACAGTGATTTGGGTTCTGTGTCCTTTGGAACAAAGATAAGAACACTGTGGTGGTAGAGATTTAAATTCTTGACTATTTGGGGTTTCTTTAGGGTTTTTTGTTTTTCTTGGTCCAGGACAATTAGAAGGAGAGGCTTTCCCTGCAGGGATGGCAGGTGTAGAATGCGAGGTCAGAGAAGGTGAGAAGCCAGTGCCTGTCAAGCAAAGGGCCAAGGGCAAAAGCATGGCTGGGCCTGCTTTGGGACTCTGCCCTTGCAGCCCTGGTGCAGGAGGCTGAGCCTGGGCTGCTTCCAGCCAGCAGTGCCAACCTGCTAGGTGCTAAAGGCTGCAGTCATGTCCCTGTGGTCCTCTTTTTACTTCTCTCCCAGAAGTGAGGACAGGTTTATTTCCTGTAGTCAGATCAGCTGCACACCCATCTTCTCTCATGTCTGGTTTTCCGCAGCTCACATTTTCCATTTACTGAGTCTCTAGAGACTCGATTTTCCTGTCACCTGTGTCCTGTGGTTCTGTGGCATTGGAAGGCAGCCATCCTGGCCACGGGGACCCAAGAGACCAAAGGGACATGTAAGAGGTCCCCACTATGGCCATACAGGGATGGCAGAGCCGCTGGGAAACTCATGCTGTTCCAGGACTCCATAGAACAGAAGAAGCCATGCTGAGGAGGTTCCCGGTGGGAGACTTTTTTTGAGGTGCATGGCTCCTGGCTCACTGCCAGCCCAGGGGAGCCTTCCAGGAGCATCGAGGGGTGATCATGCTAAGAATGCTCCAGGAGGGCAGTCAGGATGTCCGCATGCTAGGCCCACTCCTTCTACACACTTGCTGTGGGATCCTAGGACAGAAGGTTTAGCCTCTCTGGACTTCAGTTTCCTTGTCTTTGAAAAAGAGAATAATAAACTGGGTGTGGTGGCATAGGCTTTTAATCACAGCTACTTGGGTGGCTGAAGCAGGAGGATTCAAAGTTCAAGGCTGGCCAAGGGCAATTTAGGAAGGCATTGTCTCAGACCAAAACAAAAAGGGCTGGGGGTGGGGCTCAGTAGTGAGCACTTGCCCAGCACTGCAAAATAAAATAAAATAAAATAAAATAAAGTAAAATAAAATAAAATAAAAATAATAAACAATAATAGCTTTTGGGTGGTTGTGTATCTTGAATATAAGGAACATGCAATGCCTTTTGAAATTGTAGCAAACTGGACCCAGGTGTATTATTGCTAAGACACCACTGACCTCTTTTGCAAGTGGAAAACTCACTGTCCTGATTGTCACTGGCTCCTCCCACAGCTTTCTATCAGCTGAGCCACTTTTAACTAAAAAGGAGAGAGGAAGACCTCATGATGTCATCAATACCCTTGTGAGAGTAGGAGGATCACCCTGAAGACCACAGGCCTGTGCAGAAAGAGCCCGCATCTACCAGCAGGGCTGGGCCCCCTCCTGCACACGGTCCCTTGGACATAGGGCTGGCATGGGGGGTGCAGGGATGGCATCCTCTGAGTGCGCCCTGCGGCTCTCTCTCCTCAGGAACATCTCTGACCTCCCAATCATAGCCACACCCTGCCATAAACGCTGAGGCACAGAGACACCATTCAGGTGTGCTTCGGACAGCACAACTGGAACCAGAATCCAGGTACACTTTTGTTTTGTTGTTTTCTTTCTTTTTTTTTGGTACCGGGGATTGAATTTGGGACCTTGCACTTGCTGGGCAGGCGGCAGAACCACTGAGCTAAATCCCCGGCTCTGTTTTATTGCTTTCTTAGCTTCTACCAGGGAAGAGTTCTGCTTGCTGGAAGACTACCTGGTGATAATCATAACCCATTCAGAGCTTTCTAAACAGCACTGCTCCATGGGCCTACAGATATTTTAAGAGCCCATTTGAGCGCTGGGATGAGGCCAGTGGTAGAGCACTTGCCCAGTGAGGGCACGGTCCTGCAGCAAAACAGTCAACCCAACCCCAAATATGAGCTGCCTAGGTGGCACCGATCCCTACAGAAGACTTCATTTATGTTATGAAAGAATAGAACTTCCAGTTCCCCAGAATGAACAGGGCCTACAGGTTATATAATACATACGTTACCTTATAGGTTAGCTTATATCATAGCTGGAAAGAGCTTCCATGCCCCACATTGAGCTTTTCCAGAGCTGACTCTCCTACTTACTGGATAAGAAAGAGTGGGACCAGATGCCTTGTCCAAACCTAGGCCAGGCTCTTGCAAAGAAAAGCAGGGCTGCCAGAATGGCTGTGGGTGTGGCCAGGTGGGTTTTTGTTTGTTTGCTTTGTTTTGTTTTTGCAGCACTGGGGATTGAACCCAGGCTCTTCACACTGAGCTCATATCTGGCCCTTTTTATATATTTTTTTCTTTTGAGACAGGGTCTTGCTAAGTCTCCAAGTTGCTAAGGCTGGCTTGGAGCTTGCAATCCTCCTGCCTCAGCCTCCCAGAGTGTGTTGGGATTACAGACAGACTTGAGCCACCACGCCTAAGTGGTCCTGAAAGAGGGTGGCAGCATGAGGGGCTCCCAGGTCATCCATTAAAGTTAAGATGACCTGTACATCCTTACACTAGTCTCCATGATTTTATTACAACTTGGAGGCTTTTTCCTTTTTCGAAATAATGTTTACCTATCCTATCTGAAGACATTTCCTGCGGAGTGTTAACAGCTAGCAGTCGAAGCGCTGTGAGTCACTGACTCAGAGGAAACACTCCGCCCCGCCCCTCCCCGCCCCGCCCCGCCCCCACCGGCGGAGGGAGACGGCAGAGGGAACTAACTGATTTGTCCGTCGTCTTTCCTGTCAGGATCGCTCGGGCCTTGGCTTTGGTCAGAGGGAAGGACTTGATGTATGAGTCATACAAGTGCTTGGCCAGCGCCCGGAGGTCAGCACACTCTGGGGTCAGCTGGTCGATGTCGCTGGAGATCTCGGCCAACAGCTTCTCCTTCTCAGCCTGTGGCATCCGCCCAAACCTGATGGCTGCAGAGGAAGAGGAAGGACAGGGTGAATCACTCAACACTCTCTAGCGTCCCCCTGCTTGCCTGGCCCTGGTTCCGACACAGGAGGAGCCCTGCTGTCCCCTAATGTCACCTTCTGGTTTCTGCCCATCACTTTGCTGGTGTTTTTATTTCATGACAGTAGCAGATCATCAGTAAAAGTTAAATTGCCATTTAAATAATGGAATTCGAGATCTTGCCAGGAAGGTCAAAGAGTTTGTTTAGCAAAGGGAAAGAAATATGTTCACTTAAACATGAAATAACAGAGAGCCAACTCCTATTCATCCCTCATGGCCCAATTCAAATGTCACTCCCTTTGTGAGGCTTTCAAGTCCAGCTAATTATTTCTTCCTTCGTCCTCTAGCAACACTCAGTATATATTTCAAGGAGATCCCATTTTATATTGCCTATTTATCCACTACAGCACAACATCCCAAAAGCCATGGACAGCGTCCTGTTCATCTTTGCAGTCCCAGCACCTGATGTACGGCCAGGTACAGAATGACCAGTGCATGTCATGAGCTAAAGGAAGGACTTATGCAGAAGTCAGAGGGGCGCACACGCAGGCTTCCTTCTCAGGGAATTTGTACAGTCCGCTTTGTCTTTACTGCAAAGAACTACGGATGGTTATGTCACTTACTAGGCCACAGAGTACTCTATGCTTAGTGGAGAGAAGCCCTATTTATTCCCTGAACTTCATGAGAAAGGGAATATTCTTCTGAACTTCATCAGAAAGAGAATATCCTCCCATTGTGTTGCCTGTGGGGTGAGGAAGTAGAAAAGCAAAGAAAAGGAAAGACAGGCAGGGAGGCACACTAGGAGCGTGAGTGAGGCCTGGAAGGGGGGAACTGATCTGTTTGTGGGGCTGGCCAGTGGCTCATGGCAGGCCTGGGGTCCCTCCCCAGGTAAACGATTCACAGTAATTGTCACTCTTCAATTCAGGTTGCTTTTCCTTTCTCCCTGCCAATGCTCGCTATAAACTATGACTTTGAAAGCCCTCCTTGGAGGCCTCTTTGGACGCTGAGTTTTCCCACTGTGGGGCACTTGGCTGCCACATCCGATACTGCGATGTGCGGTGTCTCCATGCTAGGCACCCGTCCCTCCTCCAGGTGAGCACCTCCTTGGGGAAAGATGGTACCCTCCTCACTCACTCATCTCCAGTGCTCAGTGGCACGCAATCAATGGCTGTGGAATAAAGGAACGAGCAGAGGGCTGGCTCTTTGAGATACTGCACCACAGGTAGCATTTCTATCGGAAGTGCAGATTCATGATCCTCTGAGCACTCAGGGGGCTGTGTTGATCTGCTTATTTACTTGGTGCTGGGCATGGAGCCCAGGGTCTCCTGCATGCTAAGTACTTGCTGTACCATGGAGCTGCACCCCAGCTGAATTTTATTTTATTAGGTCATTTGTATCCTTGAGTCTCCGATTCATAAGTCCATGTCAGGTGACCCTGAATCCGCTTTATCACCAAATGATCCAACTCTTACATAGCCTTACCTATTGATGAGGATTCCTCTGAAGTAAATTAGCCCTTCTGTAGACATTTTTGGTAGACAGATCTTTTGCACTTGATCCTTTCAAATAGAAGTCTGTAAACTGCCAAATTTTGGTAAAAAAATCTTGTCTCCCTCTTGCTTTTTCCTTCCTCTTTCTTTTTAGTTCCTCAGGGCTGGGGGAGGGGAGTGGGTGTGCACATTCTCACTGAGTGAGGAGTCCATTGGCCTCAGCTGAGACTTGCGGGAACCCCTCAGGGTGCAACCTGTTTACTTCTCCCTGTATCTCTCACAGTTCTGAGCATGGCCACCATTTCTAAAGTTTTCCTTTCTCCTCTGCTGTATAATCTCCATGAAGGCAGGAATCTTGTTCATTATGTTACCCTTGGCACTTAGCAAATTATCTGGCACACAGTAAATTCACACATTGCGCCTGTGCACACTTTTGTGTGTGTGTGTGTGTGTGTGTGTGTGGTGCTGGGATCAAACCTAAGGCTTTCCATGTGTTAGGCAAGCATGCTACCATTGAGCTATATCCTCAGCCCTTTACAAATTTAATTCAGTTTTGAGACAGGGTTTTGTTAAGATGGCCTTGAACTTGTCATCCTTCTGCCCCAGCCCCCTGAACAGTTGGGGTTATGAAAACACAACTCCAGATGGCAGATTCCTTCCATCCTCCCCTGAAGCTTTTCCTGACTGACACCCTCCACCCAGACACCAGCCACTCTCTTCTGAGGAATGAGGGGGCAAAGGAGCAGAGTGGGTAGGAACCGCCTGGTAACTTCTCAGGTTGCCAAGTTGTCTACCAGGGACACTGTGCTAAGCCACCCCTACACCCAAACAGGAGTGACTAAAACACTTGGGATTTGAAAAAGGTTCCTAAATGCTGGATGCGGTCGGTCGTGTGCCCACATGAGACCATTACTGGACTTCCGATGAGTTTATGCTAGTTACCAGAGTAGAAGTCCTGTAAGTCCTATGAGTACTGGGTTTTTCCGTCTTGGCTTCTGGGTGTGGCAGAGCAGAGTAGGTACACAGTTAATGTTTGATGAATTAAACTCCAAAATATATCAAGTTTAAAAACAGCAGAAGGAGACAATAAGTCCACTGGGAAGTTTACGAAGGTGATCAGGAGAGAAAGTAGCAGGGAAGAGGTAGGGATATTCAAAGAAGAAACAGTAAGCTGGGGTGCAGCTCAGTGGTAGAGCACTCACCCTAGTGTATCTGTGGCCCTGGGTTCTACCCTCAGTACTCCCCCAAAGTTGCAAAAAGTATGGGAAAAATGAATTCTCATATAACAAAACAGAGGTACCTCGAATCACCCACTACCTTCTGTTCTTGGACTTAGTTATTTCAAAGACCATACACAATTCTGTCTCTTCACCAAATAAGTACTGAGTGGCTATTATGTCCAGATGTTGCTCCAAGCTCTGGTTAAAGTTTTATAGATAAGAAACTATATATAAACACACGTAGAAGTTTACATGCCTAGGAAAGCATTTTTTTTTTCCTAGTGGGTACTCAAAAATGTTAACTTGAACACACAGATAGCCACTTAATATATTGATAGTCATGCTTTCCCATATTTAAAAAAAGTATTGAATTAGGAGATAATAAAGCAAAATCCTTTTCACTAGTATCTAAATAAGATGTGAATTTTCATGAATTGAAGTGTTCCTGAAAGGTTAAATCTTGTGAACAAATTATCTGTATTGTTAAATGACCAGGCTACAAATTAGGTTCAACCTTCAGTGCAAGTAGTTATACAGGTGATTTTAGCATTTTTACACACCAGAGGTTTAGAAAAGGGATGAAAAATGCATCCCATTTAGTAAGACTAAATTTGCATGCAACTATAAAAATTTGAAGTTGTAGAGGAAATAAGAATTTTAACTGTATTCTTTTGTTTTGTTTTACTTTAGTTTTGTTTTTTGGCATAGGCTGTCACTATGTAGTCCCAGCTGGCCTCAAACTCATGATCCTCCTGCCTCAGCCACTCACGTGCCAGGCAGGCGCCACCACACCCCGCTGGTATTCTTTTTTTAAAGGGGGAAAAAGCTGATTTTATTTTTTATTTTAATCGCAGCTACCCACCTGATACATCAGGACTAGCCATGGCATGCTGTTCACCCACAGATGCCAAGCCCCCAAACCCTAATCCCTCTGGATCCATCTCTGTCCTTAAGTTGTTTAGCCTGGTGCATGCCAGGCAAGTGCTCACCACTGAGATGCACCCCTGGTGGGCTCCCACCTCTGAGTGGAGAAGCAGAGAACGAGGGTGGGAGAGGTTACGGAGGTTAGACTGCTGTTTCCTGGAAAGACTGAAATTAGAGCTTCAAAATACAAGACTTTCTGCACTGAGAAGCAGAAATACACAGGCCCACTGTGCCCATATGCATGGGGATTATTTTCCTGCTTCCACTGATGATTCGTCTTAAAAGACAGGAGATTCTCCCTGCCCTGCTGTGAGGCCCTGGACAGAGGTTTGGGCTTCTGCGTGGCCACGAGATGTAGCTAAGAAGTCCACTTTGCAGTTTCCCCTGTGACAAACCAGACATGCGGCTTTCAGAAAATCACTGAACTTTTCTGGTCTTCAATCACTTTAGCTACAGAGTAGAGTCCTTAGGAGTAAAGCTCAGGGTTAGCGCCCTGGATTGTAGAATGGGCACCTTGGAAAAGAGGATCTCTAATAGTTCCTTCCTTTGGCTCTCAGTTTAGCTCTAGAATTCTACAAACATCTACAGTACATGAGAACTGGGGAACACACTCTGCTCTTTTTTTTTAAAGCAATTATTTATCTAGTCTTTGAGGTCCTAAAAAAGAAAAAAAAAAAGATGCATGGTTTCTGTTGTGCAGATTTAGAACCTGTCACATAAAAAAAACTTTCAGAACACCAGTATTCGGTTTCATACTGGGGATAATTAATTACTTCCAAAGGCCTGGGGGCGCGGTTCCATAGTGAGTGCTTGCCTAGCATGAGTTCCATGCCCAGCATTGCAAAATCAATCAACCAGTCAACCAATCAATCAGTCAGTCAATCAATCAATCAATCAGTCATCACCACTGTGAACTCAGGTATCTTGGTTAAAAACCTGCTACTATCAGAACAGGTAGGTTCCCTGAGGAAGACTAGACTTGATAGAGGCTCAGAACATATTAGTATATACTTTACACAACTGGCCTTCACCAGCATGTGCACACATGACAGAGTCAGTATCACCTATTTAGTCCTGATTTTACCAAATAACACTCCAAGCACATGGAATGGTTACCTATCCTGTTTTCTGGATCTGGGTAGCGTTTTAAGAAACAACTAATTGACACATTCTCAAAATGCCCATTTAACTGTGGGGGGATTATAGACAGATGCTACCTAATTACTAAAAATTGCTAAAAATTAAGGCATAGTAATAATAGGTCATAATAATAGGTCAACAAAAAGTAGAAGAAGGAAGTAAGTTGTGCCATTCTTTAAAAAGTTGTGTCTT